GAACCACGAGGATGATTGGATGGATGTTAGAATGGATGTTTATAACTGTATTAAAACACACGAAGAGTTCTTCAAGGATTATTTCGGTGGTGGTAATTTAGTGTATCGGGTATTGGCGAGTGTCGCTTATTGGGACAACGCCCCAGCACCCTATGAGAAGTGGATGACTATCACGGACGTGGGCGTGGTTGTGGCAACATATTACAACGCGTTGGTCTTGTCGGCTAGCAGCTTGGGCAATCAGACTTATTTACCACTTTGGGCTCCCGAAGGTGTTTCACAGTTATCTTACGAGATGACTATACTATTTCTTGAATCAGGAAGCCACTTTGTGTACGTGAAGATGAATGACAATTGTCCGCTTCCTCCGTTTGATAGACAGTGGGCGAGGTATAGCAACAATAGTGTTGCATATCTACCAGAGGCGTTGCGGAGTCGACGTGAAATGTGGGATATTCTTAATAGTGTTTGATTTAGTTTTGTTTATTTTGTTGGAATGAATGTGTTACTGGATCGTCACGGTCCAACTGAAGATACTCAGCGAATGGGGCGCACATGTCCTGGATCGTCCTGAAGAAGTCATCGGGGATACGCCGATATCCTGGAATAGTAGAAGGAGGCAAGTTATCGTAGAAGTACGGATGCAACACTCGGGTGAGGTCATATATAGCCGGAACTGCAGATGGCTCCGCTCTCTCAACCGGCTCGGTACTAGGATCTACACGGACGTGAGTGTGGTATAATAATACCTCTAATAGTGTCAGACATCCAGCAATCTGCGCCGCCTCAGCTCGCGTAGCCATGCCCAACTGTCGGTACAGATAGGCCAATGTAGCCGAACCCCAAGAATACTCGCGAATCAGATTGATTTCCTCTAACAGTGGGAAAAAATCTGCTCTGACCTTCGATCCACTCTTATCCACGAACAACAACTTTCCGAGCAAGTATGCAATATATGCTCGTACTCGATACGCGGAAGGAAAGGTAGAATTGTCGCCATATTTCACCTCCAAATCATCTAACCGGGGTCCGCCACCATACCACCAATGCTCCATAAGTGCGGGGTCGACTCCGAAAGCTCTCGCACCAAGCTGGATCGCGTCGGCCTTATCCATCCAGACGTTAGGGCGAGTTCCACTAACTCGCAAACCCATGATGAAATGCACGTCGTGCAGGGTAATTGTCATCTCACCGAATGGCATGTGAAAACTGTTGGTGTCCGGCTGCCACCTCTCAATAAAAGCCTCTATTAATGGGTTATTGTGCTGAGGCAGCGAACAATCACGCAAGTGATACAAGCCGGTACTCTCAAGTAGTGAGACACAATCATCGTCGTCGGGGCCCGGCCAAGTACACTTCGCGTGCGACCGTAATTTAACCATATGTCGTCCCTGTTCAAGATATATTCATATATAAGTATACCACAAACAAGTGTAAATATTATAAACAAAATTTATTAATATTAATAAGTATTACCTTTCCCTCCCAAATGTCGTAGGCAATATGTGCTCCAAAACTTGGAATCAAGTGAGCGTATTTAGGTCCACCGGGTGTCTCACCGGTCAACATCCAAGGTCGAGAAGGAAGTTTTTTTCTCGGAGCGGTGCGGGACCTCGAGGCAGGATTAGAACCACCGAAAGTACCACCCATCGGGACAGGAGACGGAGTCGGAGTCGGAACATCCTCGTAATCGTCATCGGATGGAAAATCCGGCACCGGAAACTGATACTTCTGCTGAAAGCGTAGTTGTGGATCGTACTCGTACTCCTGCGGCTGCATATATGCATCCATGGGTGCATCCATCTCCTGCTCGGCCTCTGTCTCTGTCTCCTCCTGAATCATCGTACGTGGGGGTACAAAAGCACCAGTGCGTTCCCCACGACGTTTAGAACTAGTCACATTTCTATTATGTGTCCTTCCCTCCCGTTCCGCAGTAGTCTCCACCACCGGATCTGCAGGTGGACGAATCAGGGGTCCTTTCCCTTTTCCGAGTCCGAATTTTTTCGCCCAATTAGACATCCTGTAAACATAAAATTATATTAAATTTACTAACTTATTTTAATTCAGAAAAAAAATATTTCTTTTAAATCAAAAAAAAAAAAAAAAAAAAAAAAAAAATATTTAAATCGAACGCCCGGTTTGGGCGTTTCCCGGCCGAACCTACGCCTGGACCGGGCGCCGTTTCGCCCGGAAAACGCCCAAACCTTTTTTTGAAACAACCATTTCACGCCTAAACCGGGCGCTTGTATTTTGAAGGGAGGCCCAATTGGTAAATTTGTTTATGCAGGAAGAGACATATTCCTGCTTTTGGTCTCTCAACTCCAAGGATGAAACAACCCCTCCAAAATGTAGGGGGGAGGAAAAAAAACATGGAAAAAGTTCTAAAGCCCGATGAGAGAGTGCTAGTTTTTTCTCCCCCCCCCTGGATATATATCCTAAAAAGATTAAAACCCAGCCCCCGCATCTGGGAGAACAGCCCAAACTTTAAAAAAACGGTGGGGTTTTTTTATATAAAAGAAAATGGAGAATGCTCGCAATTTATGTCCAGATGTTCAAGCTTCTATGGTGTCTCTTTTTTATTAACTGCTAAACGGGA